AGGATCTCTATAAATAAGACTACAGCCTACTCAAAGTAATCAAGCTAAAAGCTGAAAAAACTACCAGCTGTCCTATATTCCGCTAAGTCCTATATCTAAGCTTTGTACTTTTTCTCTTTCATTCAAATAAAATTACTTTGTTACTCTTTCAAAAGTTTTCTATTCATAGTCAAGCTATTGTCCTAAACACTAAACCAATCATTTCCTAAACCTCTTCTCCCATAAATTAACAGAAGATAAAGCACTCAAGCTAAAGAAAGCCTTGTATGGACTCAAGCAAGTGCCACGAGCATGGAACAGCCGCATAGACAAGTACTTCATCAACTCAAGCTTCAGGAGGAGCAAAAGCGAGCCTACTCTCTTCATCAATGCAGGTCACGCATCTCAAATGTTTTCATCATATCTTTTTTGAACTCTTGAATTAATTCTTCATTGTTTCCAGTGTAGATGAGGTCATCCACATACAGAGAGATTTTTTTTCTTTTTGATGATGATTTTTTTTTTTTCTTAAGTACAAGCGATTGGGGGTTTCGAATCTCTGCCCACATGGGTGGAGGTGGAAGAGCTTAACCCACTGAGCTATACGCCACTGGCTACCCTGCTATTGATTTTAATAGGGGATTTTGGGAAAAATAGAGGTACTACTCATCTTCCTGGAAATTTTGTGTTAATTAACTACTTCTCTATAGTTATTAGGTTATTTACCAAAAGTCTTGCTGATAAAAAAGTCTGATGTGCAGACTGCAAATTTGGCTAGGAGAAAACTAACATACTTTGGAACAATTAATCAAGTTACTGAGACATGTTATTTATTTATAACTGTTAGAATTTAGGAGGTGTGTGATGTGTGTTGCTCTGTTACCGCTGTTAGTTTATGGGAGAAGAGGTTTAGGAAATGGTTGGTTTAGTGTTTAGGACAATAGCTTGACTATGAATAGAAAACTTTTGAAAGAGTAACAAAGTAATTTTATTTGAATGAAGGTGAAAAAGTACAAAGCTTAGATATAGGACTTGGTGGAATATAGGACAGCATCTAGTTTTTTCAGCTTTTATAGCTTGATTACTTTGAGTAGGCTGTAGTCTTATTTATAGAGATCCTAGCCGGCTATCTAAGTTGGCTTTTTGCTTAGTTAAATCGGTATGTACAGTTACCGACTTTATCTAAGCCATTTCCAGCCACATATTGTAGCTAGAACTAGAACTTTCTACTAGCTTCAATTAAGTTAGTGACTAGTGTTTAGGGAATACATCCACCGATCTTGCATTCTAAATTATTCTAGGAAATTCTGCTACCTTGTAAAAATCTCCACCAAATGTGCATTAATGTTTAACAATAACATACTGCAACGTGCTAATGATTTTTGTCTCTCTTTAATCATACTTATTCAGTCAGTTCTCAACTGTTGATCATTTACTTCAAACAATCGACTCTAAGCTTTAATGCAGGTTTGAGGGAGTTATCGCAACAATATCATGGGATCTAAACATAATTCTTCAGGAAACAGCACGTTATCTATATTTGTTGCTATTGCTCTGTGTTGTTTCTTTTAATATAAGCAATATTGGGGGAGCGGGGTTTTTCTCAAGTACATTGTCAATGTGCCACGGGGTTCGAACATGAGACCACTAGTCTGCAAGTCAAGGCCTTTATCACTAGGCTAGAACCCGTTAGCACTCTGTGTTGTTTCTTCTACCTTCTTGGAGCACATGGCAAAAGAGTGGTTTTGGAAAAGGAGATGGCATAGCATTTCCAGTAACCGAGCAGAAGACAGATTGCAGTGTGTTTACTGATTTGAACTTTGAACTCTACCACAGCCAAAGAGTTCAAGCCTTGTGATGTTAAGTATGCTGATAATTTTGCATTCCTATACTTGAATTTAGATAACCCATTTGGGGGGTCTTTTTCGTTTCTGTTTCGGTGAGTATATGTGGTTGAGCCATGCTGCTTCTCATGTATTTGTTTGTCACTTTCATCCTTCATATTTCATTAATCAATTCACTTGACATTTATAGGCACCCGTGGGCCAAAAGAAAAGACACCTTGAACTTTATTAAGTAGAAAAGTATGACTTGGTTATAAACATCAATTAATTAGTTTCTTAATAAGAATTACCCCTGCATCCGAGGATCCTTTGTTCGAATCCCCCTCTCTCAATTTCTTTCGTATTGAACACAAAAGAAATTAATTCTGAGTAAATATAAACTGATAACTTTTTCTAACGGATGGATAAAACTTACAAGAAGTTTTGAAAAAACAGGTGGTGGGAAAGTGGCAGCAAGGTGACTGTCGGCAATGGTTTATGATAGGGCAGATGGTCCAACTGCCAACGCTCTAATAATTATTATTCTACAGAAAAAAGAAAAAAAATATTATTGTATGGGACTCGATGCCTATCACCATGACTCTAACGGCTTGATCTTGGATTCTTGGTCCTACCTTATTATGGCATATACATATATAGTGAGATTTTACTTTGCTTGAGGTGAAGTCTCCCTTTTTGTTTTCTTTTATGTGAAATTTATTGTAATGGGAATCTGATTTTGTGGTAACAAAAGTGCTTGTATATTTTTTATCCATAATTTGTTGGGATTACTAAGAAATGTTACAGTCTAATAAAGAAAAATGTGAATTTACCACACCAACTTTGAGATATCAATTCTTATTTGCTCTAAATAAATAAGGTTTAGAATTGATCCAAAATGAAATCAAATAAACTACTACCATATTAGTCGGTGTCCAAAAATTATAAATTGGTATCTCTTTTTTAATATATACAAACGATACTAGGAGATGACGAAATTGAAACACAAAATTTAATGTGCAAGAATAACTGCTTTTAACTAATTAAACTTACAAAAAATTAGCAATAATTTGACGTGACATCTCTAATGAATCCAATAATCCTAGTTGGCTAGTTGCTCCTCTGCCACCACAGAAAGTAAGGAATGGACTCAAAACCTTAGAAAAAAATCAGTTGACCTTTGAATTAAGGGGATCGAGCTCAAATTGGAAAAGTCTTGGCCCAATCCTATAATATTCATAGCTATTTAATTGAGTCTATAAGAAAAAAGAGAAGCAAGAAAAGCCAAAGGGCCAAAGCCAATTTGGTGGGGCCAATGGGTTCCCACCACAGTGGTGGTGGATTCCCCCTTCCCCCGTGGCACCCAGGATCGAACCCCAGTGGGGTTTCTTTCCTCCAATGTAACCAAAAAAAACTAGCTTGATTAAGTCCTTAAATTCTTCAAGACATTGGCAAGATTCCTTTAAAAAGTTGTACTTTATATATATATTATGAACAATTGCTAGGCTTTCTCGCATATCTGTATGACAATCCCACGTGCATGCCCAACACTATGAGTAGAAGAATATATGCACTTTATTCACTTTTGCTCTGAAAAACATATTTGATATGTTCACCCAAATTTAAATGAGCTTAGAAAACTAAGGAATTTGTAATCACTTGGTGATTAAGTATTTACATGTTGGATTCTCCACCCTTCGTATAAATTCAGGGACCATTGCGGTTAAAAACTCATTTAAATATTTTTATATTAAATTCTATAGTATGTATGTTAGGAAAAAGAATAAACAAACAATGGTGACGCTTCTTCTTTCTGGTGGATGTGACAAATTAAAATTAGGATTTCAACACAAAAAATGCAGTTCAATTATCTGTTGCTTGTTAATTAATTCCATAAAAAAAACAGGTTGAAAATTTAAGGACATTTTAAAATAACACGTAATAATCTGTTGAATTAAATTAGTCTGAATAGTAAGGGCTATCAAATAAGTAGATGATCACATTATTTTCGTATAAAAACATTGAAATAATAATAATGATAATTAGTTGATTAATCGAGTTTGAATTTAACTTATTGTTTGCATTTTCGATTTACCTAATTGTTTCCACGGATGGTCTGCAGTAGCGCTAAGTTGGTAGTGATGTCAAAACATATATTCAATAATTTATATTTTTAAAGAAACAAAATATGATTTTAATGTATATTGTTAGGGAATGTGGAGAGGTCACATCATAAAATTGGAATACATCTGATTGATTTTTCTTCGACTTATGTGTGTATTAGTTTCTTTTGTTTTGCATATTATTTTTCACATGTAATATGTAAGAGAAAAACATTTGACTAGTAATGGTATTCATGTTATTTTTGAACGTTCAAGTCAAAATACTATGAGCTCGAATGTAGATGTAAGTATTTTTAGCCACTTGAGTTACAAGTAAGGGCAGAAATCACCCTTAGACTAGAGTGGGCTTAAGCCCAATCCAAATAATTAGATAAACAAGAATTTATGGTGTGTTTACTAATCAGGAATTAAATTCCACCTATGGAGGATTCCTGCGTTTACTTCACATCAAGGAATTGAAAACTAAGTAGGGCGCACACAAAATTAGGAATTGAATTCCTGATTTTGGAGGAATTCAATTCTTGGGTGGGAGATGGTATTTTAATACCTGGAGAATTAACTCATTAGGAATTCATCTTTTTTACCCATTATATTCTCACACAATTTTCAAAATTCCAAATATGTCATCTACTTTAACCCAACAACGAGGATATTTTAGTAATTAGTACCACTCCTATCCCAATTCCATATGGTTTAGTAAACAACTTCAATAGTAATATGGAATCTAACTCCCTTCAATCCATATGGTTTAGTAAACAACTTCATTAGGAATCCAAAATCTAATTATCTTCAATCCAATTCATCCGCAATTCAATTCCTTCTAATCCAATTACGGATTAGTAAACATGTCATTAGTGTTACTTTCAGAAAATTTAGTATATTTAGTGAAAATTAGCTCACCTCATTCCAATCCTAGCATCTACTTAAACCGAAAACGGAACATTTATATCTCACCCGTATGAAAGTTTTTGGTTCCACCCTGACTAAAAGTCGCATGGTAATTTATATAGATGCCTCTTTTGTGTAGTTTTATTTTGGGATTAGAATTGTCCTCGGAAGGGCTACAGCTCATTGCATGCTCCAGAGAGTAGCGCATCATTGCTCTGTCGGCGGATAGCTCAAGTTCAACCAAGTGAGTTTCCAAAGCTGAGTCGAAGACCAAAGTCATCAAATTTCTACATTGCCTTCACCACCTCTCACTCTCTTCTTATATACTCTCTCTCTGCTCTACATAAATTCTCTCCCACTCACTCACTCACTGTGATTTCACTCTCTCTTTCTCTCACTAGTCACTGGCACTGTGGGGGAAGTGGAGGGAGTGAGAACTTCAAATACCATATACCCACTGGAGGGCTCATCTCTCTAAAGCTTTCACACCATTCTCTCCCATTTTCAGGTTAGCTATTTGATCCCGGTTTTCACCTCTTACTATTTCCTCTTTATGCATTGTTCTTCTTTGCTTAATTTTAATGTCATTTTTTGGTTTTTTGTTTTCTTCCCACTGTATAATAGCACAAGATCTGTGCTTGCACTTGCCTTTTCTTTTATGGGCTGTATGGAAAAAGAGTGTGATCTTGTTTTTGTTTTTGGCTTAAAAGGTTTAAGATTTAGTTATAAATTTCATTGTTTGTACATCTTGGCTTCAGATCAAGGGATTGAACATTTTAGGATCCAACTGGGCAGCTTGATATAAGGCAATGGATGATTTATAACTTTCTATTTTGGACTGGAGGTGGTAATTCTTGATCCCCAACTGAGAAAGAAAATGAAAAGAGCTACAGATTAGTAAAAATGTAACGTTTGCCTACCGGTGATGTTAATCCTTAATTTAATCCCATCCCATATTTTGGAATAGCAATGACAATGGATATACCGGAAAGTCTCTAAGTTTAATTTAATCCACTCCTTCATTAGTTCATTTAATCCTGCTGTGATTGTAAACTCACTCTCTCTTCAACAAATCTAGTTGCTGCTTATTGCTTAAAGTCCTTAACCATAAATGTATGCGTAGTTCATAGCCTCTAGAAACTTACCGTATCCGGGAATCCGTCATGTTTCTCATGTCTCAATCTTGAAACGGTGATGCCATCTGGATTTATTTTATTGTCTTCCTGGAAATTTTGTGTCAATTAGTTACTTCTCGGTACTGATCTGATGATATTTTACCCTCCGTTTGGATGAAGGAATTGAAAATGACATAGAACTATAAAATGACGGAATTTAGATTTCTATCATTTTAATTTCTGGCAAATGAAGATTTCAGTGTTTGGATTTATGTATGTCGAATTTTGTAAATGACACTATGGAAATTGTGAAATGACGCCTATTTTGGTGGAAATTAAACTTGGGAATTTGATGCCCCAATTTCCACGATTTTTTCCGCACGTCATTTAATAAATTCCGCACTTAAGTTGCCAAACAAGGGAATTGTCAATTTCTCCTCTTAAATTCCTGACTTTTAGCTAAATTTAGAGTTATTTTCCCTCATCCAAACGGAGGGCGAATTTGTATTTTCAACATTGGCTGAAAGTAGAATGAGTGCAAAATCCTCTGTAGGTAGGTTATTTACCAAAAGTCGAGCTGATTAAAAGTCTGATGTATATCAGACTGCAAATTTGGCTAGGAGAAATTAACCACACTTTGGAACAATTAATCAAGTTATTGAGATATGTTATTTATTTATAACAGACTGCAACGTGCTAATGATTTTTTTTTCTTTAAGCATACTTATTCTGTCAGTTCTAAACTATTGACCATTTACTTCAAATAATCAACTCTAAGTTTTCTATTATTAGTGCAGGGTTGAGGGAGTTAATTGCAACAATATCATGAAATCTAAGCATAATTCTTCAGGAAACAGAACAAGAAGCACGATAACTATATTCGTTGTTATTGCTCTGTGTTGTTTCTTCTACCTTCTTGGAGCATGGCAAAAGAGTGGTTTTGGAAAAGGAGATAGCATAGCATTTCCAGTAACCAAGCAGACAGATTGCAGCAATGTCTTTAGTACTGATTTGAACTTTGAAACACATCACAATATTGAGGAGATAGTTGAACCCTCTGAACCTAAAGCCAAAGAGTTCAAGCCTTGTGATGTTAAGTATGCTGATTATACTCCTTGTCAAGAGCAAGACCGAGCAATGAAATTCCCCAGGGAAAATATGATATACAGGGAAAGGCATTGTCCACCAGAAGAGGAAAAATTGCATTGTCTTATTCCAGCACGGAAAGGATATATGACTCCTTTCCCCTGGCCTAAAGGCCGTGACTATGTCCACTATGCCAACGTCCCTTATAAAAGCCTGACAGTTGAGAAAGCTGTTCAGAACTGGGTGCAGTTTCAGGGAAATGTTTTCAAATTTCCAGGTGGAGGAACAATGTTCCCCCAAGGCGCTGATGCATATATTAACGAACTTGCATCAGTTATTCCGATTTCAGATGGCTCTGTCAGGACAGCATTGGATACTGGTTGTGGTGTATGTTGGTTTTCTTAACTATGCTTGTGTTTTTATTTTTGCATTTGCATGTGTACATTCATTGCTTCACATTGCCATTCTGTCATCTGCATTTAATTTGAGCGTCTTAACTTCCTGTAGTCAATCCAAGACTATGAGTACAACAATGGCTTTTCAGTCTCCAGAGAATGTTAGGTAGATTTGCTTGTGGGTATAGTGAATGCAAATGCACATTCAATGATACTGTGTTATATATATGTAGCTAAATCATGTATGTATGTGAGCAGTGAGCTATCCTAGTATACATGTTCACATAGAGTCAGTTCTTTCGTTCATATGTGGTTCTTTACTAATGAGACCAACCATGATACAGGTTGCAAGTTGGGGTGCATACTTGCTAAAGAGAAATGTATTAGCCATGTCCTTTGCACCACGGGATAATCATGAAGCACAAGTGCAGTTTGCATTGGAGCGAGGTGTACCTGCTGTTATCGGTGTGCTTGGATCAATTCGTCTTCCATACCCATCTAGGGCCTTTGATATGGCTCAGTGCTCTCGGTGTTTAATTCCATGGACTGCAAATGGTAAGATCTCGTTGTAACCAGCATTAAGCTTGAGTAATCACATTTGATTTCCTTAGTTTCTGTATTTTATATTAAAATAGAGTTGAATTAGTGAACTCTTAAGTTGAATACAGATAGTAGAAAAACATATCTATATCTATTTCCATACTCAGATCATATGGTCAAATTAATTGTCACGATCTTGCCTCGACTCTCAAGGTTGACCACTGAAATAAGCTTAGAGTCGTTTGGTAAACATTTATACTTGATTTCCATTGGTATAAATGATTACTGATTTGCACACTTTCATTTTGAAGACTATTTTTCTATGTAACTTCACGTTTTCTATGAGAATTTATGCCAAAAAGTGTAAATAAGTCTTACAAGGGTGATAAATTGTCTGCAAGTCTTACATATCTGGCAATTAATTTAGTTACCAACCCTGCTAAAATTTTATTTTCCCAAGTTTTCTTTTGGTTGATATTGACTTCCTCAATCCATCCTCATCTGTTGACTTCTATATAAAAGAGGGCTTCTGATTGTAGTCCCATCTTTTAACTTTGTTTTCCATGTTTCGACATTCAAGAATAGTTTATTTACTGAATATCTCTGCAAGTGCTGGAAGTTAAATGATTCACTTGTGAACGGCTGTGTGTAGATGGGATGTACCTAAAAGAAGTTGATCGGGTCCTTAGACCTGGTGGATATTGGATCTTGTCTGGACCTCCAATTAATTGGAAGACATACTACAAAACATGGAAGCGGTCTAAGGAGGATGTCCAGGCAGAGCAAAGACAGATTGAAGCACTAGCTGAAAGTCTTTGCTGGGAGAAAAAGTATGAGAAAGGAGATATGGCTATTTGGAAGAAAAAATTTAATACAAAATCCTGCAAAAGCAAGTCTGTCAATGTATGCCAGACAGAGGATGCTGATGATGTCTGGTGAGTTCCAGGAACTGTGCTGAGGAGCCTTGTTTATTGTTCTTAAATATTCACTAATCATTTTTAAAGATAATCTCATGGTCTGGATAAAGTCGCCCTGCCTCTAACTTGAGGTTTGGTAGATTTTCCGGAAGTGAGACATACTCAGTTAGGGGAAAGAAGCGCAGGACTTTGCAGCAGGTGACAGGTGACAGGATAATGCAAGGAAACCCTTTTTGAAAACCTCAAATTATATAATATGAAGTAGCTGTTGCTGGATTTCCCTGTCAATATTTCTCAAAACAAGAAGTAATCTAAGAGAAAAAAAATGTAGTGAATTGGTTACTGACTATGGTTTCAACCAGCAAATCAGTCCACTTATCTAGGAAATTGTTAAACATAACATAAGTTTTACAGACAGACATGGTAGTCGAATTGGCATGTTGCACATATTCCACATTCCCACCCCTCTGTAAACGTGATGTGCTGGTTGCATGCCTCCAGTTTGTGAAAAGTTTTTCAGTTAGTGTCTTTGTACCTCTTGCATCACTCATTACTTTATGTTTGTAGACTGGAATTTTCTTGTGCCCTGTCCTTCTGTAGTTATTATGTTGTTCTAGACAATAATTCTGTTTTATTTGGGAACACAAGGTAATTAAGCCCCTACCTCCCATTGTGTTCTTGCACACACTTTGGTTAGAAGAAAATCTTGTGCTTATGAATTTTATGTTAGTCAATGCTATGGAGTCTTAAGAAGATATAAATCTCTCGACACTAGAAGTTGGACGGGTTTTTATTGTTTGAGTTGGTCCCCTAGTTCAGAATTACCTAAAATGCATTGATATAAGTAGAATGATTGTATAACTTTAGATTCCATTTATTAGAGTAACACTTTCTCTTTTCTACTTCGCTTTTATGTTATTTTCCGTCCTTTGTCATTCTATGATTGTAGTAATTGCAAAGATTAGCTTCATTTCCTACAAGTGTTGTAATTATACAAGGCGGGTTCCCTTAGATCAGTGATGAAGTTTCAGTCTATTTCTATCTTGCTTGCTCAAGTTCATTTGGCCGTCCTTTTTTCTTCTTGTTTTCTCCATACATGCATGTCCTATTCAATTCTGATAAGGGAATTTTTGAAAGGATGTATTCCAGTTCTAGAGTTAGATTGTTACAGCAATCATAATTCTTAGTTTTATGTGGTATGTTTCAGGTACAAGAAAATGGACACATGCGTAACCCCCTCTCCTGAGGTAACCAAGGCAAATGAAGTAGCAGTTGGGGCGTTGAAGTTTCCTGCGAGGCTTTATGCAGTCCCTCCTCGAATAGCTAATGGTTTAGTTGACGGAGTTACTACTGAATCTTACCAAGAGGATAATAAACTTTGGAAAAAGCATGTAAATACTTACAAAAGAATCAACAACTTGATTGGCACTACCAGATATCGAAATGTCATGGATATGAATGCAGGCCTTGGAGGATTTGCAGCAGCCCTTGAATCACAAAAATCTTGGGTTATGAATGTTGTGCCTACAATTGCAAAGAACACATTAGGTGTTATTTATGAGAGGGGTCTCATTGGCATTTATCATGACTGGTATGCCCCTCTCTCTCTCTCTCACACACACACACAAATTTGCCTTGTTGGAAGTGTATCAGTTTCCTCCAGGTCTTGTTAACCTTTATGTTTTTTGATGATTTATTATTATTATTTTTTAACTTGACTTTTCCGTCTTCAACATCTGGAACAAGATTGGAATTTAAATGTTTACAAAAGGAAAAATAGATTAAAAGGGGTTTGTTTTCCTGCAAAGCAAAGACTGTCAGTTTCTTCTCAATTAAGATTTGCAATAGTAAGATCTAAGTAGGATGCTTGGTAGTTACTAATTCCATGTCATAACCAAAAAGGTAAATCTTCTTTCAGGTGTGAAGGCTTCTCCACGTACCCAAGGTCGTATGACCTTATTCATGCTAGTGGGGTGTTCAGCTTGTACAAGAATGAGTAAGCCTCATCATCTTCTTCCTGTGTACCTGTGTACCATAAATCATGCTTAGTGTTTGGATCTATGATTTAGCAATCAAATCACGTGATACAATATTTTGCCATGAACCTTCATATTTAAGACTTAATTCATATATGTATGCAATTTTACTTTTAGCAGGCTAACAGCAAAATGTAAGAATATTTGATTCACTAAACCCAAAAACTCTTATGTAACAATTGTTTTCTCTAGGGCCGATTAAATAGTGGTGGATTTTTAGGGATAAAGTGGAAATTAACATAATAATTTATACGAAAAGACTGAGCTTCCTGTATGACTAAAGGTTTTGTTCATGCATAATTCTATCTCTATTGTTAGCATAACAAAGTCACTATTATTTTTCCACTAAAAAATTTTCAAGTCACGATATTCTGCATGATTCTAACAGAACAACTAATTTTGATTAGCTGCAGTTTCCATATAAGGTTCAACATTGTTACATGAAACGTTTAACAACCTCCGGAGTGCTGATTGATTATTTAAATGGATTAAGCAGGTGCAATCTGGAAGACATCCTTCTGGAGATGGACCGCATCTTGCGGCCTGAAGGTGCCGTCATCTTCAGGGATGAAGTTGATGTCCTGAACAAGGTTAGGAAGATCGTCGGGGGCATGAGATGGGATGCCAAAATTGTGGATCATGAGGACGGCCCCCTTGTGCCGGAGAAGGTATTGGTTGTCGTTAAACAGTACTGGGTTGCCGGCAGTGGAAACAGCACATCCAATGATCAGTAAACCAGGAGTGATCATTTGGCTGTGAATAAACCGAATATTGCGCCACGGTGATGAAATTGCTCTATAGTTGGGGAACCAAAGTGTTCTGATCCTTGGGGATGATGAGTTGTGTGTAATTTTAATTTATAGAACATTTATTTACTTTCTAATTCGCTTGATTTCACGGGGGAATAGGATTATAGGGATGTTGAATAATTAGTTCAAGAATGTCACAATGCAACAGAATTAATTTATAAAGATATTTCTCAGTTCTCTTCCTGACCAAAGTAAACTATGCAGTTTTCTATCTAAAGATCAAAGTTGATGTACTTTGTTTGAAGATCTAGCAAAGTCTTGTTGAAATGTAAATTCTTAACTGGTTTTAGTTTTATATTTGTCCAGGTGTAATTGTTTGATTGGCTGAGTCTTGCATGACTTAGATTAGGACAAGTGTCCAGCTTACATTGCTGGATCAATTTGTAAGGCTGAGATCACATTCTCAGCATTGTAAAAGGAATGTTTCCGGTAGAAATTAATGCACTGTGCTCTGCCATGTATTGAGCATAGCAACGAACTTTCAGAATCTCTCCTTCTGCATTTGCTTTGTGTGAGCTGATGCATTCTCTGTGAGAAGCTCAGATTCAAAATCTCAACATGGTATCAAGAGCCTAGGTTCGACTCTGTATCTGGGCGTTGTGAAATTGAATCAGAATCGAGGTCATCCAACGTTGAGAACCTCTATCGCGTGAAGGATTCGGTCTCAGATGGCGGGATCTAGAATGAGTGAGCTACGAGCTTCCATCTTCAATGGCAGCAATTACGACTTCTGGAGAATCAAGATGTGTACGATTTTCAAATCGCACAGACTTTGGGAGATGGTGGAACAAGGTTTTGACACTCCGGTAAAGAAAGAAGGCGATCATGCTCTGAGTGCTGCTCAGAAACTCACGCTGGAGGAAAATATTGCTAAGGATGCAAAAGCATTGGGGCTGATTCAAAGTGCCGTCTCCGATGACATTTTTCCTCGAATTGCTCTGCAAGAAACTGCCAAGGATGCGTGGGAGATTTTACAGAAAGAGTTTCGAGGAGATAAGAAGGTACGATCAGTTAGATTACAAGCACTGAGACGTGATTTTGAATATATGTGTATGCAAGATGATGAATCCTTATCTGGATATATTACAACACTGCTTGAGCTTGTGAATCAAATGAAGTCCTATGGAGAGAATATTTCTGATTAGAGAATTGTGCAAAAACTACTGATTAGTTTGACGAGAGACTATGACTCAATTGCAAAAGTAATAGAGGAGACTAAGGATACAGAAACTATTGGGGTTCAAGAGGTTATAGGATCTTTGAAATCTCATGAGCAACGGCTACAAAGGCACAATGAGAAAGTGACAGAAAAGGCTTTTTCTAGCCTAAGTGTGAGCTCTAAGGAGCAGTCAAGTGTTACTCAAGAAGGAGGGTCTAAGCCAAAGAAGAACTGGAAGTCACAAAACAAGAAGAAATGGGATGGAAAATCTGGAAATTCCCATAAGAAGGAGAACCAGAATGAAGGAACCAAGAATCCTTGCAAAATCTGTGACAAACTTCATTATGGAGTTTGTTGGTTTAAAGGCAAACCGAAGTGCTATAAGTGTGAGAGGTTTGGGCATGTAGCAAAAGACTGCAGTGGCAAGGTTCTGATCGGTTCATAATTGTATATCATTTTGTACCCTTCTAGCTTATGATTTGGTTATGTTTTTGAGTTAAACTTGTGCTTTTAATCCTTTTTGTGTTTATCTTTCAGCTTTAGGTAACAGTGATGGCTTTGGATATGAAATGATGTAATCCATGTATGTTAAAGCCTGATTTGGATAAAGGGATGAAGAGCTTAAAAGACAAACTCATTTTCGCTACAGCCCCCTGCCAGTCCAGTTCCGTAGGTCATATTGCAAGCTTTGTTTCAGCAACCTACACAGCTCGGATGAGGCAGCATTCTTCATGAAAGTTGTTCCAATGGGTGT